AATCGTCTTCCTTCCAGATGTACCTGCGAGGCGGAGGTCACTCAGCTCGAAACCCGAGTGACCATTCTTGAAAAACAGCTATCCCAAATCCAAACGATAGGATCGTTAGACACGGTACTGCTGGAAAAGAAGAGAAAATTACCGGAAGCGTCTGAAAGAGTACCAGCACGCAAGAAAGTAGTCAAGCGGTCGGAGACTGAAGAGCTGATCACCAAGGCAGAGATCCTGACCTGTCCTTCCGAGGCTTCAAAGTTCGATCGGCGATACCTTACAGGAAGACGCCCTCCATTCACCCCCCACGGAGCCTTCTCAAGGGCCTATTTGTAGTGGACGCTAGATGACATGGATTCACGCGTCACTGCGTTTAGACTTCGGCACCGAAACGCCGACTGTTGTCCCATCAGAACTTATTGCCAGCACTGGGAAATCGTCGATGGCACTGAACCTCACGAGGAATGGGATATATATGTTCTGCTCCTCTGTATAGAAAATGAGTCAGTCGTAGAGGGAGACAGTGGATGTGAGGGTATCAACATGTTTGATGAGGAGGAGCCTCTCGCTGACCGTATCACTGTTCAGCCCTGTCGCATCTTCTGTGATTTGTTCCCTGACTTTGATGCCATATGGGGTAAAGGCTATGCGGTGCTTCATTGTCTTGTGCTTGATTATGGTAAGACGGTGGAGGAGGATGGGGACGAGTGGAAGTGGTTGGATCAGTTCGGGCGACTGATATCGAGAATGTGACGGTAACGTCACCTGACATGGCTTGGAGTAGATATTGAGGACGTATTAGGTAGATTTCGATCTTGGGTACTTCTCTCGATAGCTTTTAAATATCATCCGTACTGGAAATTGCGCTGCTGAACTATTTTCACCATTATCTGACATTGCGAATTGTGCTGCATCGTGATCTTCAGATGCCAATTTTCTCATCCTAGAATATCCTACTGATATTCTAGGCTTTCACGCCTTACTTCCGAACATGAAGAGCAGTATTGATTATCTATTGCTCCATAAGGAATTCTCCCACCTGAAAGCAATGAGGCGCATGTTTTTTATGGTTATGTTTGTTTCGAAAGCAATTGAACTCTCGAACACGGATAGTTCAAGTGAACAGCGCTGACGCCAATGGGGCCTGAAAGACAGTAGCTTTACTGTTCGCTGACCAGATGTCAAAGAAAGCTTTGAATAGATATCCAGGGAACAAAGACACAATTGAACCTTTATTGAAGTGAAGAAACGTGTAAATGAACATACGCTTGCATAACAATGGCTCTTTATAGAGTCAAAGCCAATTCGACTTTATCCGCGAGATCGATCTCTATGATCAAGTACATATAATAAGTACTTGTATAACTCTCAATTTCCATGTTCCAATAACAGTAACAGTCCAGATCCTGAAACAACGACAGCAAAGCTTCACTAAGTCTAATACCTCACCAACATCGCCATCATGTTCACCATCTCGTCCGCCATCGCACTCATCCACACCCTTCCCAGAATCATAAGTGGCCTTCTTGCAGTATACGACTTTTATCACAACCCACTCAGCTACATCCTGCCTTTCTTCGGCATCGTACCCGGCCAACTCACGCCATTCCGCACCCTATTCATGGGCCTTACGATCCTCTTGTTTATGATTATATTCACATACGTCATCTTAGATTACGTTGTTAAAGCTTCTTTATGTGTGGCAAAGAAGCTGCTGTCCTTTATATGGAGACTGTATTTGAACCCGTTTTGCCTCGCTGTTCTGTATGCTCTTCCATTAGGACTTACGATTCGACTGCTGGAGTTATATATGTATGAGTTCACGAAGGGAGATAAGCAGGAGAGGTAATTGCATCTATACATGTTGGTTATCTATTCTTAAGTTGTTAAGGCAAATTACTTTTCTTGGCTTTCTGGAGGATTAGAGCATCCTTAACATGAACCGTAAACTCTTAGACATAGATAATTAATCCATTAGACTTATTGGTGGTCTATCGATAGTTTGTCTAATTCAGCTTAAAGAGCTGTCTTTATTTAAATTTGCCACTACATGTTTACTTTCTGCAACTCCTCTTAGCTTCGCTGCCTGATATACATAATCGTGCAAATATGGCAATAGTCAATGGCTTATTTGGCAGTGGGGCTGATTATGCCAATAAGTTAGCTACCCTGAAGAACTCAGCTGACACTACACGTCTTGAAATCTTACTATAGCGAGGCCCTAAGCACGAAAGGACTATAAAAAATACTGGCAGCCTTGCTTCTGCGATTAGGTTGGACGCTCGACAAGATACTTGTTTTTGATGGATCAGGAAGCGCTCTCAAGGAAGGGTATTTCATTATTTCAAGGTCGAGGATGCATCTTCTGGGCATGCTCCAGTTTGGGCACCGGTCGGCTTTTTGCAAACGGCCTTGACAAAGCGCAAATCAATAACCCAAGGCTAGACAAGCGAACAAAAACTACTTTATCGGTGAGAACAATTCTATTTCATGGTGCAGGCTTTGGTCGTGGTTCACTCTTCGCATCGTGAGACGAGTCTGACCCCTGCCAGCTGAAAGATGGATTTGTTCCATGTAAGATGATTGGGCCGATTGACGATTCTTGCGGGATACGAACCCGCCTTGAGAAGAACCCATGCCAAGGTCGGATGATACAACGGCCGACACGGCTCCATGTGACTTGGTGGAGCAAAGTCTCCGATTTAGCCAAAATTCCAGCCATCTGGTGTTACCCTCTGAAGCAAGATCGAGTTCGGGATTGGAACAAGGAGGATTGGCGATTCTGGCTGATTGAGAAAGATATTGTTAGCCCGATGAAGAAAATAAGATGTAGTCCCGCGATGAACAAGTAATACCGTTATAAACAACTCTCAGCTTCATGAACGCTGTGACCGTCAATCACTTATCAGACCGCTTGCTGTAGCAGGAATAGTTTCCGAAGGAGCAATAGCATAGATGCTAATGTCGGTGGAGGCAAGTTCTATATCCATGGTCTTTACTCTCGTGGTTTATCGCGTGCCCGATTGGCGGATTATCTTTTCTTGGAGGCTATCGCGAGGGAATAAGTTAAAGAGGCGTGGTAAACCACGTTGTCGACAAGTCGGCAACTGCTCAATATTTCCGATTCGCGTCATCCCAGGCTACTTTAGCGCGTAAGCACTGGTATGCATCGGGGAAAAGTTCGAAAGTCAAAAGACCACCAGTGAAGATGATGTGCAGTGACTAACCTGAATTCAGGACATCTTAGCGCTGGTGCCCTACTCCAGACTCTACGATGGACTCGATTTGGGCACTAGTTCAGGGGGTTCGATACCCAATGCCTCCCTCTTTCTTGTCATCCAAACGTGGAGGTGATCCCAAGTGTCAGCGTATTCGTCAAAGACATCCATGCCTCTTATAAGAAATTCAAATCGTCCAGTCCAAACATGCATCTCACCAATGACAGGACTTCCCTGTCGTTGTTTTGCGGCTGCATTCGCGATTCATGTCTCACCAGATCACATCGGACTCCCCAAAGTCTCGGCCCATCGGCAAAATGCTTCTCTCTCAAATACTCCCTACCCCAAGACCCTATCGGGATAAGATCCATGGCCCATGGCTCAACTAGAGTGATCGGAGAGCATAGCGCAAACTCTATCGCAATTCCTCAACCCAAGAAATTCATTAGTGCCGAGTCTATTCCCGAACTTCATAGCCACCGTCAAAGCGCTGGTGTGCATGGTAATCTACTTCTAGCCACTCACGTAGCGCAGAGAACAGGCACACGAAACTGGCGCGCACCAAGATAGCCACCACTTGACCTTTGGTATGGTGTTGAAGAACCAGTGGCGTGTCTGCTGAACGTTTGTGGAATAGCGTTTCGTCTTGTGTTTTGCTTAAGTGCTTTCCTTCCCCCATGTCCCCCCAGTCGGGTTGATCGCCTGCGAGATTGAGGTGAAGCGCTGACCCTTCCACTCGCCAAGATGCCTGCAGGGCCGTCCGGTGTCGTTGTCTTGGTATGCGATCAATCGCCAGCCATTTGGATTACTATCTAACAATCGCACACTCAGACCGTCATCTACGTCCTCATCGCAGTGTCCACTACAATCATTGGTGCTCGAATCTATCTCCGACTAGTAATTCAGAAGCAGCGCCTCGTGACAGCAGACTGGCTGCGCATATCAGCATGGTGCACCGCGTTCATAACCGGCTTCTTCGACATACTCTATGCGAAAGAGGGCGTTTTGCATCCAGGGATCAATTACACTTTGTCTAATTGGGATGCCCCATTGGAACAGCAGATCAGAATGCGCAAGGTAGGTTCTGTAATTACATCGACGGAGATTGAGCTGATTGAAGGTTGCAGTACAATTGGGCCAATCCTTTCCCATTTTATACGACGTTTTATCTATGCAAGGCATCCCTGCTTGTTATCTATCTACAGCTATTTCCGCCGTTCATGGTCATAAGAAGACTCATGGTTTGGATCGTGGTCGTGTATTGCATTTGCGCTTACATCGTCACCATTTCTCTCCAGCTGTTTCTCTGCTATCCGATCGAACGAAACTGGTATTACAGCACAATCACCCGCGATATTATTTTAACTAACTTTGTTTTTAGGGCGGTCACAAATCCAGAAGAAGCATGCAGCTTCAGAATGACGCTTTTGATGTTCCAAATCAATTGGGTGTTGCATTTCGTCGGAAGCATTGCTCGCAAGTTCGCCAGCTACTCTTGAGCAGACACAGGACTGATACCTTGATAGTTTTCTGCCTCCCGTTTCTCATAATCCATAACCTGAACATGCGCAGGAAAGTCAAAGTCAGTGTTTACTGTATCTTTCTCTTGGGCATCATCGACATCGCATTTTCACTCACGCGCTTCTTGACAATCCAACTGGGCGATAGCGAAGACTTTAGATCTTTTACGATAATTGGTAAGCAGGCTGGACGGTATTATTGAGAATAATATGCTAATTCGCTTTCAGAACTCTGGTGTTCTCTCGATGTGTACATCGGCCTTGTTATCTGCTGTATCCCAGCTCTCCGACCATATCTTCACAGGAAGGGAGTCAACTATAACATTCAGGAATCAGGACGTCCTTCGAAGTCTGGTCATGCGATACGCCGGACAGGCCAGAGCGGATTTGAAGAGATAATTGAGGGGTCAGGTCTTAGGGGAGATGGTCGAGATGATTCCTGGTCTGGATCCCATTCTTGCGAGATTAGGGCGGAGATGAGTGATAAAAAGCAAAACGGGAGTGATATCGAGCTCGTCAGGATTAAGATCAGTAAGAGTAATGTGTAGGCTATAGATATCCAGCGGGATAGAACCGCAGCAATTGAATAGAGCACTGATAGCTTATCCCTTCAGTCAAGTCAAGTCAAGGTTCTTATGAAGCCGCCTCCTCAACAGCGTAAAAAGAAGCGGTATTTGCTTTCATCTGCACTGTGATGGAGAAGGGACATAATGTCGAGTAAGGGCGAAACAAAACCAAAATAGACATGATTAGACTGTGTCAAATACCATCACGTTTTGAACGGTCTTAAAGTCATCACGCATAAGCTCACCGCATCAAAATTCGTGATACTAAGTCTCGTCACATCTAAAGTTCATCGCCCCAAATCTCGTCAAATTTCGTAAAAGCTCACATACCCTCTCCTAGGGTGAACGAAACAATTACAAGGCTACCAATCAATCATCCGTCGCTACGAATAAGGAGGAGTCTTGGAGGTCGTCCCAATTCAAGCATTTGTGACACATGCTGTCTATTGAAGTTATTAATTGGTAGGATGTGGTATTTTCAAAGCAGTAAATAGTTAAAATAGCCATGAGAGATACTCAATATTTTGTGCATATTCCGTTTGGCATTAGTTCTGGGTTCATGCTGTTATACCTACCACCCAGTCACCACTATCAGTAAAAAGCCCAGCTCGCAACCCTACTACCAAGATTTAACCCCCTAACCATCTATCAGACTCCAGCGCCAGCATAGTCCGACTTCTGCAGTCGCAAAAATGTGACCGGCTACTTGCTATCGCGTAGTAGTTCTGACAATCTTTATCACTACATGTTTCCGCGACACCACAGGTGCCATTGTACGTGTATGACTTCCTGCTGATTGCATGAAACCAATCATGGCTCGGCAGATTCAATTCCTGGATTCTCCCTGCCATCTGAGCCCAGCCGACGCGTATACTTCGCTGGTAGCGAACCGTGATGCAAGAATGACTCTTCGTGGAACCCATATGAGAACAGGGGTCAGCTACAATACTCACGCTGCCTTGGCTCGGATTGTCGTGGAAGAAGGATGAGTGAGTCTGAAGTTTTGCGCCCTTTGAATGTATGACTTTGACTGGATCATCTTGGGATGATGCATTAGTGGAGATGTCTTCAAGGTTAAGACCACTCAGTTCGGGCAGAACTCCTGATATACGTTTCGGTGCGAAGTGCTTCCCGCCCTTTTCCCGAACTGATTGGATGGCCTCGTGAATTACACTCATTGGGAGAGTCATTTTTCCCGTCTCGTGGTTCATGCCGTAGGGAATGTCGCCAATCCCTTGACCTGGTGTCAGATCTGCATCCGAGTTGCCGGTAAATGTGAGCAGCAGCAAGACCCCACCTGTTGCGTATATGATCATCTCGGCTTTGGGCCCTCCACCTTCATTGTGACAATGAGTATAGTGACTTGGATCTTCGCAACTCATGATCGTAATCTTCTCACTCTTCTTAGAGGATGAAGAATGAGGATTGACAAAGGATTGGATGTAATCCCAGCTGATAACCTTGTGCTCACAAAGCCGGATGTAGCCCGTCCTGGCAAGGCATCTGTATCTACCTACTGAAAAGCATGAGGAAGGGTGGAACACTCGGCAACTTATGCAGTACCTCCAGTCCAAAGAGTGTTTGGGCGCGAACTTACATTTCAGCGAGGCACCCTTTCTCTTTCTGACTTCCAGCCCCTTCTGACACGTGGAGCATATCTTTCCCCTTCTGACGAAGTCGTTCAGGCCTTCCAAGTAGACACCTTTTATTTGGGCCTTGTAGCCGAAGCAGTGCTTTTCCCTAGTGTGGATGAGATGTATCTTCGTCAAAGCGACTGGCGCGTTCTGTCTAGGTGTATGAGTTCCAGATAAACTGAGACACTGGTCGCAGCAACCCTTGTCCGAGAAGACATGTGAGTCGAAGGCTTCATCTCTCGTCAACCGTCTGAAGCGCTGGGAAACCTGTCGCAGCGCAAAGAAGGCGAACAGAGACGGCCTATCCCTTTCTTTATAGATATCATGGATGATAGCAATGAGCATCTCGTCCGGGAGACCATTCAGGCCAACGGCAGAAGCGGGGGGCGGGTTGATTGCTTTGATATAATTAGCAGCTATCACAGGGCCCTGCACCAGTATAGCTCACTTGTGCATGGAGCGAGAAAGCGTGTGTGGAACCTCAGTTGCCTGGCGAGGAGAGGAGAAAGCAAGTCCATGTTCAAGGGTGAAGATGAACTGTGGGCGGGCGTTTGCGCTGATATGGGTGATGGTAAAGAGAAGAGATTGATATGAAAAGTCTTTGCTGTACTTGGCAGATGAAGGCATGGCTTTTTATACGCAGCGCCCATAGGGCTCACCCCACCTAGGTAAAGTTTTAAGATCAAACTAAAGTTTAAGTCGAGAAGAAATAAATTTATCGTGGGAACCTTGAGTGAGCGGTAAAAAAGGTTTCGTGCCTGGATATACAGTTTGATGACGCGTGTCGCGGGAACATGTGCTCGGTGGCGTTGCACTCACAAAGCAAGATGCATCGGCTTGGTATCTACTGGGTGGAGAACGCAGTAAGTGGCCCCCTCCTTTGAGACAGCGTATCATGTCAATGAGATTGTAATGGACATACTCCTATAGACTGCCTGATAGACGGAGAAATGGAACAGCTCGCACCCGTTAAAAGGAGAGATGGAGTTTTACAACCTACTTGTCGGTGATGGCATTGAGGGCATAGTACATCAGGGACGGTGCACTATGAAATGCATCGTCCTTGATAGTATTTACTAGACTGTTGGTAAGATGTCGACGCAAAGTCAATTGTTACACAATGTCAAGCACTCTACGAAGCATCTAGAGATCCTGTAGATAAATGTTTTCTTTGTTTCCTCCCCTAGACTAGCTATCCAGTATCCTCAGAACTTACCTATGCCCCATATCACCATCGTTCACCCTCTCTCGTGGAACATAGCCACTAAGGAGTCCAAGTCAATTGTCTATGGTGCTTCTACTTCGTACCCTCCAGCCTCTTCAGATCCTGCAGCATCTGGAGAACCTCGTTCTGGGACAACTCGAATCGTCCCTTATGACCCTCAGCCAGCTGCTGGTGCCATTCATCAGTGGTCAGGAACATCAACGCGTCGACTAGTAGGCCAACGTGATGCACATGCTCCACAAGCACGGCTATCTCTTCTGGGGTAGGAATGATCATGCCACCGTTGTCATACGGACGGGGTCCAAAGACTCCTGGATATGTAGTCTTTTTTTCTCGTATGGAGTCTTCAAGGCGACTCAGGATAAAGTGGATTTGGGCATAGAGCTCCATGAAGGATGCCATTTTTGCTGTGGGGTGACTGTGGGTTAGTATCTTGGGATGCTGTGGCGAAATTGGTAACTGGTACTGAGTTGCAAATTCAAGGTGAAATAGGAGCTTATTATATATATTGGTAAACCGGCAAGGTAGGTTTGTTCATACTGAATCAAATATCACATACGTGATACTATCGACTGCTCAGGAAGTTACCAAAGAACAAGGCGCTACAAAGAAGTGATTAAAGTCTCACTTGACGAACATGACGCTTTAACAATGCATGTTCGATTCTACGGAAGCATTCATATCATGAACATGATTCGGGATGAAACTGGAGGACAAAGGGAGTTACAGTTCTTCTTTAACATAATAGCGACAATCCTTGCTATTTGGGGATTTGAGAAGCATGGTTTACACCAATTGAAAGTCCTCGATTTATCAAGTGCGCAGTTCGCCCCACACCGATAAGATACACAACTACGCTTTAGGGAAAGTTTAGGATATTGTAGTAAATTAGTATAAAGATTTGAATAAAGTACAATAAATTTACGTATGTATTTTCATCCCTTGGGATAAAGGTTCTTGGAGACATACCTATCTCACACTGAGCTTTGAAGGGCACAGATGAGCCTGTTTCCCGACTTGATGCCATGGTTATCTGTCTGACTAATGTTCACAGCAAGGTCGGGAGTATGTCGGAAACTATAGGGGAGAACTAGACACTCAATCCTACATGCATGGAGTTAGATGTTTTGTTTACAATAAGTACTCACACTCACCGAGTTGGTAAAAGAGACATGATAATGCTGTTTTACTCACTGTATGACTGCTTGTAATAAGAATCAGAGAACACAAGACAAAGTGAATTGAAAATAATGCGAAAGAACACACAGCTCTCATAGCTGCGTCACCCTCTACTTTGTACGCGTGTTCAGAGACTGCACATGTCAGCTTGTTCACTAATGGCTACTCATCAATATTTTCCCAAATCCTTCTACATATCCGCCAAAATCAACACATTTTCATGAATTCCTCTCACAAGCATTTTAGGTCTAAGCGTACTGTTCTAGCAATGGTCATGTATCCTACCGACGTCATGCTTGCCATAGCTTCGTATCACTAGTTTACCTGTCTCGGCTTTGTTCCCTCGCATGTCATTTGCAACAGGCTGTCAACCCCAGGCGATTCCTCTTCTTCCTCACCCTTATACATCTGCGCGTCTTGTCTGACGAATCTAGGGGTATTCTCTCGCGAGATTCGGGGACGACTTCGACCTGAAGTTGAAGTGCCCGGGACGACGGCTCCCTGGCGAGTCAGCCCGGGTCGTTTGGCCCGGACTTGGCTAGGGCCACTTGACCCCTGCCTCTCAAGACCTAGTCTGCCAATCTCCTTGTCGAGTTGGTCCAGAGCGGAAACGACCTTTCCCTCAACGTCTCTCAGATCCTGTCTTTCTCGTTGTACAGTCCTGTCCAGTGTCACCGACATCAGAGTACTGTACTTCTCAATAAGGGCATCTTTCTCCGCCAGGATCTTCATCAGCCCTTGATATTCCTCCCTCATCTCGGCCATCTGAACCTCAAGCCTCTGGGCATAGTCTTGGCTTTCCGCCAGACTACTCTTTAAACTTTTGCACTCAGCCTCGAGAGCGAGACACTGCACAATTCCTTGCCTGATGAGCTCGGAACTTCTCTGCGAATTTTGTTTATTGAGGTCTGCCATGTTGACCTGTGACGGTTCGTTAGTATTGGTGTGACTGGAATGTTAGTACTAGTTTCTGAATTTATCTGTTTTTGAGTGAGACTTTGCTTTAGTGTCAGAGGGGTTCTTACCTTGGAGGGAAGTTGTTGATTGAATGTTAGTCGGTATCAACTGCAAATTTATACTTTAAACCCTGAATAAAAGTTATCTCTAAGATATTCAATGTCCTGCTTCTCATTCTCATACTCCATGTAAGAGATCATGTTCTCGGTCGGTGTTCACAGAACTGGCCTTATAATCGTCAATTATGTGTTTCAGGGAACGGCGTGTTCTGTATCCTAAACTGACCGTTGTCTTGACTGCGATTTCCTCTTGGCACCCCAGAAGCTTGCTCACCGTCTGTTCATTTTCGAAGACCGTTGTTCACCACAAACTACGGGCATGCTATTTACGTTCTTTGCCCACTATATTTTAGAAAAATAGCGTGACTGTTCAGTGCTTGGTCTTTGATAAGAACATGGACAGGTAAATGGCCGATTGTTTATACAAAAATCGAATGCTGAAACCACAGCTTTGTTTTACTAGGATCATTGAAAGACCATGTGCGGCGAGTAACCTTGGGATCTCGATCTTAAATAATAAGAATATTTCAGTAAAATATTCTAAACTCGGTGCAGTCTTTGATAAGTTTCGCATTTTATATCTACTAGTTAGTATTGAATTTGCTGACTGCAAAGAGGCCGCGGTCAAAAACCTCTAGTAACTAAAATCTGACGTTGGGACGGTCAATGGTTAAATGATCAGGTACGCATTCCTTGATTGACGACCATATTCTCAGGTGTTACCCGCCGATCTTGAAAAAAGGAACACAAACGTGGTTAGACTTTTCATCTATGTCAGGACGCAATATGCCGATGAACAAAGTATAGCCTACTGTGGGTAGAGCCTGTTCTTTGATGGTTCAGATCGAGTGCTTTCTGCCGAGTCTGGATACAGTGACAACTTCGTTGGTCGTACTGTCGATGACGGTCTCTCTCAGTAGTGCAGAGAATCTACTGGTTGTCGCTACAGGGGCCAGCATCCAGCAGGGACGGCCGGTCAGTCCGACCTGTAACATTTCATTGGCGGGGTTTGGTAGAGCTCATTGATAGGCTTAAAATTTCTGGCCAAGACCCTTTTCCTGATCGCTTCCCGACGTCGGTGACAGCACATACAATCTAGGACCAGTGAAGTCATCTGCCGGATTAGGATACATGGCCGGTGTGCGAAATCGCAACACGATAATGAACTTTATTCTACCAAGACTCAGTATAAAAGACGCTCGCGTGCACAAACCCGCTGCCATTGCCGCCAAGATAGGCCGGTGTAAGTGGCGTCTAGCAGCTGAGTATGGTGCTACCTGTCACTTCGCTTAGCCATACAAACAGGGCTAGTCTCTGTCATTTCCCGAGCAGAACGGTGATACATATGAGTAACTTGCTTTGAATAGGGTGACAATAGGATACGAAGTACTTGTTAGTACGGCAATGAACACAGAACTTCAGTCTGACTCCCGGAAACCATTCCCTGTTCCCGGTCAGAATCTAGTAGTGCACTATGCCTCTTCCAGCCATGCCAACACTCCGGTATTAGGGCTAGTACTGCGCATTAACTCACCGACCTAGCTACCAAATTGATATCTGATAGCGACGGCTTAAGTTGAGCTCCACGACATTGAGGCGGGGCGCCCCAAAGTGTTGTTCTCATCCTGCGGGCCGCCATGGCGGGCAAGGGAAGCGATTCTTTCTCATTACCGACGAAGTCGTTCCTCTTCTTCTGTCTATCTCTGAACGCGACAATCGTTCATAGGCTGGAAGTTTGTAACAGAGCAAGTTTCCCCGCATTTGGCCATTAGTGTTCGCATTTTCCCGGCTGTCGGAGTGGGTATATGGCCTGCGATCTCGCGCGCAAGCCGCTCTCCCGCTTGATTTTCCGTATTTCATAAGCTATCCACGCTAGTGTGTCCATTTCGCAAGGCTCATCCCCACGGTGTCTGATCGACTGCCCAGCTCCTGGCCTTGCCAATACATCTCACCAGCGATGGTGCGTAGCGAACGCGACAGAGCGACAGGGGCAGAGAAGCTATACCAAGCAAACGCCTGAAGAAGTGAAGTAAGTGAATTAGCATTAGTCGAACGTAATATCGCGGGAGTTGCGCCCTCGACGTGAATTCGACAACTGGTCGCGTTTTGGTCTGTACACAAGAGTAGAGATATACGGTGGCTTAGCCACGATGATATATCACTTTCCTACAGTCGGACGCCGTAGCCCAGAGACGAGAGAAGGGAAAACAATACAAGTGATATTCCCTCTCGCTTAGCTTTTCTGCTGAGAGGGTTTTCCATGGTCCCGTCGCTGAGAACTTTGTCGTTTTCCCTTCTTCCTCTCATTCTCACCTCTAGTCCGGCTTAAAGAGCATGCAAGGAAAGAGGCTTCCTTAATCACAATTTCTTCATTCTTTAAAAGACGACAGACAACTCGTGACATCTTTGAACCCTCTAGCAAGGGTCTACCACATCAATCATGTCAGACCCCGACATTGAGATGCCGTCGTACCCTGAGACCTCACCACCCACCGCTCAAACCAACTCAGAAACCCCTAGAACACCAAGGAAGTTTGACGACGAGACTGCCTCTCCCAGCAAGAGATTTGGCAAACCTCTCAAACCAGCCCCCACTCGCTGTCACCGTCCACGAGCTGCTTCTTCATCATCCCTCCCCAACGGTGGCCGCTTCTCAACCCCAGCCCACTACCAACAAGTCGCTGACTTCGCTCCTCCATGTCGAGTTGAGAAACGCCGCGCACCTGTCAGAGGTCATCAGCGAGCAGAGAGCTTTGAACAGTATATATCATCCACCAGACGTCTTACGCGACGCATTCCAAGCAACGATGAAATCACCGCAGTAGGCTCTGTCAACAGCTTACTTCCTCACCGAGGACAAAACCTTGCACCCACTTCTGGAAGCCTGCTGTGGGACTCGCCTCAGCTGCCTCGGCATCAGGTTATGGAGCAGCTGGAGCATCGTGTTGAGGATCTCCAGGTAGCATCACAAGGAGAGTCTACTGGGCCGCGATTTTCGGAACCTAGTGACGCTGTGGCATGCTCAATCCGCGTTAGACAGATCAATGCATCAAGACGTGCACGCGAAGATTCCGAAGAGGGTGCATCGCCTGTTGTACCAGCCCGTCACGGGTCGGATGAATCGCACTAGAACTCCGTCATTTTTCGACAGTTATTGTATGTCGCATGTTGGAGATATCATGCCTAGCGAGGGACTATTGGATCAGATAGATAGTCGAAATGAGAGCGGCGATCCGGAATACTTAGCTACTAGGTGTCAAGGAGTATATTGACAGCTATGAAATTCACAAAAGTCTGGTGTTTGTAGCGAAAAGAGCAAGTTGGGAATTCTGAAATGACTAGAAAATGGATTTTAATTAAATTCTATACTATTGATGGCGTGGTGGCTATTTTGTTTTGAGCTGTCTCTTCTACTATAAACTCCTAGCGCAGCTGCAGGGTATGATGCCAATGCTCGCATAAACTTAGGTCTTTGGAGGAGGCCGGCCACTATTTCCAGGCCATCGATTCCCCGACACTATCCATTCAAATCTCCAAGTTGCGTCCTTCCCTTAGCGTGAGCATGTATATTAAGAATTTTTTCATATTCCACAAAAGAATCCCGCCCTTGCTGTTGTTGATCACCGCGCAGAAATGAGTTTACATGAAATGTCTTGAACGGACAGTCTAATGAAAAACCGATTTCCAAGCTTACAAAAATAGAGCCGGCTTTAAATCATTAGTTTTGGTGAATTGAGATGGAAGATGTGAAACAAAATTAGGAACATTAAAGCCAGTAAAAGATCGACGTTTTTATTTATTTATTATAAGTCCAAGGTTATTTATGAAGACGATGAGAAGCCTTTACGACAATTCGTTTTCCCTTGTCAAGGAGTATGGTGTACGCTTGATAAGGCCCGAATCATGTATCTCTCCACAACGACAACTATAAAACACGCCCAAGAAGGAGACGGACAACGTTCAAGTTTCAGGTCGCGAGGACTGTAAGACTCCCGAGGTCAATACGCGGATTCGAAAAGAATAAATGTCACCAGACAAATCATTGGTCATATTGCATCAAGATCGGAATAGAGTTGCCGGAAGACACTAACATAATTGGGGGAAGTGAATGTGATTAGCGGATGCTATTACCCCGTACCCCGCAAATTCGTCCCCATGGGCAATTGTAAAGTCAAATTGCTTGTAGGAAACCCCCAATGCGCGATCTGGCAGACAAATCTGGACTGGCTACTGCTAGCGTGACACTATCTCCGGTCCGTTAGACAGATCCCGACTAACCTTGAGTGGAATTTGGATCATAGTGTTTGGGGAAGTCTGGGGTATCGTTGGGGGTGGCTTATCCGTCCTTTCATTGGCCGCTCCAATAATGGAGAGTTCATTCAAATTGGTATCTTGTACCTAGCGAGTGACTTTATTGCGTTAGTTCAGATGAATTGATTGAATAAGTTAAGAGATGAAAATAGACCTTACAAGGTATCCTCCAGAAGAACTTTCAGTTCTCGCGTTTCATTCTAAGTAGGAGAAAAAAGGACCGAACCGCCGAATCTATAGAACCAGCATGAACCAGAACGGCGACATAAGACATAAACAGAATGATCTCAGAAACAGCCACGAATGTGCATCGAATCATTCCGAGAAACACGAGTCACTCACACCAATTTCAGGGTTCCTCGTCTAGCCTCGGCGAAACACTTTAACCCATTTCGGCAACTCCCTGCATTATCCCACGAATTAAACAACAGCGCACCGACTTCAAAGTGCCGTACTGCCGAGAACTCGTTGGACGACATATTTTCCGACGTGGAGAATTCCCCATTATAGCGCGACTTGCATGTTTCGAGCGTGCCGTATACCCAGAAGTACCGATACCGATTTGGACGTGATGAGTAGGGGGTTGATGAGTGGAATGTGAATGACTATGTTCTGGAACGACGAGACGGGATTGGAATATTCCTTCAATGGGGTTGGGGAGGGGATTTGTTGTTGGGGATAATGAATGATGATCTATATAACATCATCTCATGCCGACTTGATGGATTTTATCATCGCCAAGCAGTTCGACAGCTCTTTACATCCTCTTCAGACTTTGATACACGAATAGCACAATGGTTCGAAACATCGCTATCGCAGCTTTGCTCCCAGCTGCCTGGGCTCTGCCTTCAAGCTCTGTAAGCCAAGCAGATCTTTCGACGACTATCGAATTACTAACAAGGGAACTGTAGATCCAGGAAAGAGATGCTTGCACCGTGACTGACTACTCAGGCCTCGCTACCGCCGTCTCATCCTGCACAAACATTGTGCTCGCGGGTTTCCAAGTCCCGACTGGCAAGCAGCTCGATCTATCCAAGCTCAAGGCTGGCACAACCGTCACTTTCAAGGGAACGACCGTAAGTTTCTCTCTTCCTGTATCCGGTGCGAGCCAAAGCTGAATGTGATAGACCTTTGCCACCACTGCCGACAACGACTTTGATCCTATTGTCATTAGTGGAAGTGGCATCACTATCACTGGTGCATCTGGCCATGTCATTGATGGTAACGGTCAAGCGTACTGGGATGGCGAAG